TAAGGATGGGATGATTGACAGCTAGTGCCTGGCAACAACAAAACATGACGCATTCTGTGTCCTTGAACTGAATAGACTCTCCTTCCTCCATTCGTTCGTTTGCAGTTGGCTAACGTGGTAAGAGCCACGACGCTCCCTGTGCTGTGATGTCCTCGTCCTACGAAAATATAAGTGCGCCACGAGAAATAATCAAAATTTAGGAAGTTGCAGAGTTTTGTGCTCTTAATGTAAAAATTCGTTTTTTTATAAAAATTATATTGATTTTTAGTTTTTTATGTGAAGGAAGTATTATGTTTGTTTTTTAAAATCGAGTCTTGATGTGAGATACGTAGTTCGCCACGCGTGCCACATGTTTCCGGCCACTGTGCTGTGTGGCGGAACTGGCGACTGCCCTGTTGGGAGTTTTCGTGATATTTCGCTGGCTTTTTGGTTGCAATTATATCACGATTGTGAGCATGAGACGCCGGAGTGGCGCAAAGTGCATGCTCCTTGTTCCACGCCAGCGACAAGAAGACATTATATCGTTGCCCAGGAAAATTAAGAAGCGCGTGAGGAAGAACTTGAAGCAGGATCGTTTCTTTTTGCTCACAGCAGAACTCTGATCTGAGCAAAAATACAGTTTTAAAGTAAGCTATTTATAATTTTATAATTACACATAATGACTGTTATTGTGCAATTGATAAAAGTTGTAACTAGAATTATGTGTAAGGTATTAAACAGAACATAAATGAATTGAGGGACTCCCAGAAGAAAAGAAATCGAAGAGCGTGGTGTATTTAGGACAAAGTGGACGATTTCGCAGGTATTCATCAGAAAATTAAAAATTTCGGGATGGTGTGAACAAGGTAAGTTTAATTTATATTTAATTTAATTGACCCAGTATATTTCTATTGAAAGTTCCTGTAGGACCGTGTGGTACAATAATTATTAATGCCTGCCTGGACATACTGGAGTTGCGACTTTGTAGCCACCCTATCCACTGCCACTACAAATCCAATAGAAATGGTGTGGAATGATTGCGAAGAGGTATTTACAAAACTCATGTTGGAACTCAATTTGATCGTGCTCATGGCTTAAAACAAGTTTGGCAGGATGCCTTTCAACAAGTTTTACAGCTGCAGAAGTAAGTGATATGATAAATCATTATTATATTTTACATTTGTTACTATTCTTAGTAATCAGTTGAAATGTGATATTTGTGTAAATGAGAACGTTATCTACCTGATTCAGATGGGAAAAACTATTTGAAACATACAGAGGAAAATTTTGGAAGAAGACTGGAAATCGAGAAGTGAAATGTTTACAGCATAAGATGTGGAAACCCATTATCATCAATTTAGGAGAAAATTCAAGTGATGCAAGAGAATGAAGATTAATGAGATAATGAAGATTGACAGTGAACCTCTTTGATTCCCATTACCCCGACAATCAGGAGAGGGGTGTTAAATATGAAGAACTGTAAAGTATGAGTGGAAATGAGCTGGAAGGCGGTGAGAGGAAAGAAACAGAGGGCGGGCCAGAGCACATGCATGGGCGGGGTACTGTGACAGGAAAAACAGAGCGCACGAGGGAGGAGGGGGAAAGTAACAAAGAAGAGCCGAGGCGGGAAGAGGGGCAGGAGAGGGGAAGGAGGAAAAGGGGAAGGGGGCGGGGATGACGGGGCACGGAGCGCAGTAGAGCCACAGGGGCGGGCCGGAGGAGGAAGCAGGGGCGCGAGCAGCGGGCAGACGGGACCGGCGAGGACGGAGAAAAGAGGGCGGGAAGGGGCGGGAATGAGAGGCGGGAACCCAGAGAAGGACAAGCCAGTGGCGCGAAGAGAGAAAAGAGGGAAGGAAAAAGAGAAGACGAAGGGAAAAAGGGAACGAAACGGAACACGAAGGAAAGGCGCGGGGGGGCCAGGAAACGGCCACGACACAAGAAACACAAAAGGGGAGACAGGACCGCAAGGTAAGGAAAAGAAATGAGGCCGACCCGGGAATGCGGCTGAAATTGGGGATGGGGGAAGGGGGGAGAAAGGGGGTAGGATGAGAGGAGCAGGGGAAGGGGGGCGACGCGGAGGAGGAAGGTTAGGGGGGAAGGGGAGGGGGGAGGAGAGAGGAGGGGAATGGGGGAGACTGGGGGGGATAAGGGCGTGGCGGGCAGGGAACAGAGGGGGGATAAGAAGGCGGGAAGGAGGAGCAGATGCGAGGGGGGAAGAGGGGGGAAAAGGGGGCGGGCGACCAGATCGCAGAAGGGGGCGCAGGGCAAAGCGGGCGGAAACGTCAGCCAAGCAAAGAGAAGGGCGCAGGCAGGGCAACGGCGGAAGGCAGGAAGGGAGCGGAAAAGGAAGAAAAGAGGAAGGGGAGGAGGAGGAGGAGGAGGAAAGGGGGGCCCGAGGGGAAGGGAGCGCGCGGCGGGGCCCGCCGCCGCCGGGGGGGGGGAGAGAGATCCAGGCACGGTGACACAAGGAGAAGAACAAGAAGAAGAAGAAAAGGAAGAGGGGAGGGAGGGGCACAGAAAGGAAGGAAGGCAGAAGGGCACCGGAAGGAGAAAGTACGGGGCGGGTAGGCCAGGTGAAAGCAAGCGGGCGGCAAGGAAACCAAAAAGCGGAGAGAGGGCGAGAAAACAAAACAAGGGAGGCAAAAAACAAGGGACCAAAAAGAGAAGCCGAGCAGACGGAAAAGAAGGAGAGAGGAAACAGAGGGGAAGGCAAAGAAAAAGAAAAGAGCAAAAAACAGGAGCCAAAGGGAAAGAAGAGAGAAGACACAAGACAAGACACAAACGACAAGGAGAATACAAGGACACAAAAGGACAAGGGAGAATAGAAGAGACAAAAGGGAAGACACAAACAGGGAAAACAAGACACAAAGGGAAAGAAAGAAAGGAACAAGGGGAGGAAAGAGGGAGGGGAAGGAAGGCGGGAAAGGGAGAACAGGGGGGGGGGGCCGGGGGGCATGGAAGGGGCCGGGAACCAAAAGAGAAAGGGCAGAGGGGCCGGGGAGGGA